TTGATTTAGGAAGAAATGTTAATACAAATTAGAAACATTTCAAAACTGAATCCTTACAAATTATTCATAAAAAATAATCCTTCTCAACTTTTTCTATCTGTAGTCTTTGTTTCTCTGACTACATTTTTGGCAAACCAGAAATTCTGTAATTTCTGCCCTCTCAGAACTTACAAAAATAGTTCAAATCTCCTTTCATCTATAATTCCAGTTGCTACAAACCCCTTCCACTCCATAAATTTGTTCTTATTTCTACTTGAGTGACAACTATTTTAGGAAAACTTTAATTATTCCTATTTTTTCTCATTTAGTATTAAACAGTTTTACCTATAAAGCTTAAATTATAATATTATACATATATTTAGATTACCATAGTATAAATTTGTTCCTTAGATAAAATACAAATCTAAAACATTTTTTTTTTTTAAGATTTTATTTATTCATTTGACAGAGAAATCACAAGTAGGTGGAGAGGCAGGCAGAGAGAGAGAGGAGGAAGCAGGCTCCCTGCTGAGCAGACAGCCCAATGCGGGGCTCGATCCCAGGACCCTGGGATCATGACCTGAGCCGAAGGCAGAGGCTTTAAGCCACTGAGCCACCCAGGCGTCCCCAAATCTAAAACATTCTTATATATTGTTACATGCATCAGGTACATGCATCTGTAGTGAATGTTAAAAACTTGCATTGAAAGAATAATATCAGCTATAGGACAATCTTCAGCTCCAGGGGTAATTCTCTACCTTCTCCAAATACTTGCCACCATCTAAGCCAGCATACTAAAACTAGTGTTGTGTGAAAGTCAGAGAGTGTTTCTTAAAAATGGATATTCCTGGGCTTCAACTTCAGAAACTCTAAAGCAACAGGACTGTGTTGAGGTGACGAATGTGCACTTGAGCAAGAACCTCAGCTGATTTAGCTGCAGATGATTAAAGAACCACTTTACAACAGACACACGGACTAGGCACAGCTATGGGGGGTGGGGGACAGAGGAGCCTGCAGCTCCAGGGAGAGGGCGAGACTAGAACAAGATTTGGTTGCCACTCTTAGTGGGAATGCAAACTGGTCCAGCCACTGTGGAAAAAGTGTGGAGGTCCCTCAAAAAGTTAAATTGGAACCACCCTACCAGCCACTAATTGCACTACTGGGTGTTTACCCCTCAAATATACAAAAACACCAAATCAAAGGGATATATGCACCCTTACATTTATAGTAGTATTTACAATAGCCCAATTATAGAGGTATCCAAGTATCCACTGACAGATGAATGGGTAAAGATGATGTGGTGTGTTATTGGAATATTATTCCAATAATATTCCAGAGGAATATTACCCAGCCATAAAGAGAATGAAATCTTGTCATTAGCAGTGACATGGATGGAGCTACACAGTATAAATGCTAAGTGAAATAAGTCCATCAGAGAATGATAAATACTGTATGACTTCGCTCATATGTGGAATTTAAGAATGAAACAAAGGAGCAAAGGAAAAGAGAGATAAGCCAAGAAACAGTTGTAACTATAGAAAACAGACTAATAGTTACCAGAGGGAAGGTGGGGAGTTGGTGGGGGAAGGATGATACAGGTTATGGGGATTAAAGAATGCACTTGCCATGGGGAGCCTGGGTGATGTATGGAAGTGTTGAATGACTCCATGGTACACCTAAAACTAATATAACACTGTAGGTTAATATACTGGAATTAGAATTAAAAAAATGATTTTGTTGTCATGGTCTGTGGCAGCACCTCTAAGCATGAAAGTGAATGCGAGAGAATGAAGAGTGGTGGGCCCAGGAAAGAATGCCAAAGTGCAAGAAGCAGAAAGAGGAGGGATTTTCCAAGCAAACAGAGTTATGGCTGGAGAGGGAGGAGAAGAGAGGGCATCATAGGGTGGAAGCCAAAAGGCCAAATTTTACAGGCAGGGCCTTACCACGAGCCAAATAGAACAGACAATAAGATAAGGGAAATTCTCACTGTCTGTATAGTCTATCTCAGCTACTACATTTGTTCCTAGACGGTAGGGGATGGTATTACCAGCAGCCGACATATTGTGAATGCTTAGTAAATGCTTGGTGAACTAAAGAGGATGGACCGACAAGGGCGACTGCCAAACAAGGATTTTTAAAGAGCTCACCTACAACTCAGTTACTTCAAGTGCCCTCACTAGGATTTGCAATTGTAACCAGACTGACAGAAGAGTTATTTTCAACCATTTACTAAAATGTGGAAATGATGTTTATAAACAGTGCCCAATCTCTGTGTGTATGTAAGGGAATTCTGGACAATGGAGTTTTGCTAGTAATATTAAAAAAAAAAAGACCTTTAAAGTCTTTACACTGAGGTTGTAAGAGTGGTCTATTTCCATACGAATGATCTCTTATGATCATTTGTAGAAGTGTGTGCAGTCACGAGAAGAACAAACCACATTAAAGGAAGTAAATGACTCTCTAAGAATGCACAAGTGTTGGTTGCTATGACAACTGCTGGGTTATATTAAATAGCAAAAAAAAAAAAAAATCAAATAGAAACCACTAGGAGAACTTGCACAGGAGCAACAAACAGTTCTGCCTCACAATTTCAAGAACTTTCTACAGCTGGCATTGCATGAACAGGGTTCCTGTTGATGTAGTCACAGGCTTAGTTCCAAGAAAGGTCACCTTCTTGACACATTTCCATCATTCTAGTGTTTCCTTCCTTAACTTGCTCTTCTGAACATCCAAATAATTTATCAAAGTAGTGAAGAATTTATGCGGTTATCTGGCTCTTCTCTACTGGTGACACTTAACAGTGTTTGCCTTCAATCCATTTTTGTTTAAACCAAACAGTTTTCAGGTTTATATAGAGAGAGACAATTTCGATCTGTGGAGCAGTTCCCCCACCACCCCCAATGTGGCACATGTCTGACTAGTGAAGAAAATATAGGGAAACTAGAGATGGTTTCAGGAAGCCACCATGCTAACTCACTCCTAGGTTTCTTTTCTCTTTTTGGGGATCTACTATTTTCCAATTCTAACTTTCTGATGTGCTAAGAGAAATAAGGAGAGTTTGCCAAGTTTTTCAGAATTTTCAGTGAAAATGTTGTTAAAGTGATAAAATGAGAAAACCCTTTTAACGAAATGCTGCTGGTTCAAGAGCAACCACAGAGAGACCAGACATGAGCTATGTGACTTTCTCATGGGAAGCTCCACAAACATGTGTGGAAGGGTTCTTGTGGTCATCAGGTGGCCCTTAGTCTAATGAGCGCACTGATCTCACGAAGAAGTGTTTAAGCTCTCAGAATGGACCGTGCATGGTTCCTTTAGGAGATTACCACATGACAGAGTAACCCAAATGGGACCCACTGAGAGGGTCTCTGCTCTCCAATATGCACTGCCCAGGACCAGAAGATTGATCTCAAAGAAGCCCTTCACAGCAGCACTTTTCAAAGTGTAGGTTGAGACCCATAACTAAGTCCTAAAATCAACAGTGGGTCAGACCATTATTAAAAGACAGAGGGAGAAAGAGAATCAAATAGAAAAATACAAGAATGAATCTCATCCAGTAAGGGTAAATACACTTTGTGAAACTTCTGTTTCTTTCTCTCTCTCTGTACATATGTATGCACTGGATTGTTGGATTGAACATATTTCTTACTGTAGGTTCTAGCCAAAAAGGCTGAGGAGCCAGACTCTGCCCTGCTAAGAATACCTTGATGTTCTCTGTTGTGTGAGGAGGAGGGAAACGGGGAGGGGGAGGGAAGGAAGGGGCGCAGGAATAAAAAGAAAAGAATTCCACCTCTTTGGCTCTAGAGTTTCAATTATTCCTCAAATCTGCTCTCTACTTCAATAATATTACACTAGGTTCCAACTTTTGTACTCACTCTCCTCTCACTGTCCTTGGTCCATTGTACCCTTTATTCATAAAGCTTTCTCTCCTCTTTGTGGTTTTCAAATTCTATTCTCCTTTAGGGTCCATCCAGGCCTTATCTTGGCATTTAACCCATATGATCTCTATGTCCTCTCATCACTCACCTCGTTCCAGCTGTTCTCAATTCCACACAATTTCTCTCCAGGTGTCCCGTCTTCTTTGAGCTTTACCTGCTTCCTGTCCCACTCTGCTCCCACACCTCCTGTTACCTCTCTTCCAGTCTGCCTCCTTCCCCCTGTTGCTTTTCTCTTGGCATCTACCTCCTAGCTAACTATCCTATTTTTGTTGTCTGGCTGTTTCTGCCTTTTTCCGTGGATCTCTAGGTTTCCCACTTGACTAAAAGCAACTTGAGCTCAGGGACAGTGAATCATACATTTTTGTACGCCCCATGATATCTGGCATAGTACAGGGCATATCAGAGGTGCTCAGTGTAAATGCCTTGAACTAATAAATCAATCATGATTCCCTCCTGTGCACCAAACTCTACCCTACTCACTCCAGTATTTTTCTCTCAAGATATAATGTTTTGTGTTTAAAAGGGTTTTGTGACTTCTAAAGCTCTCTAATACCTATTTCTTATCTCAGTTTTATCTATAAAAACTTGGTAAAGGTGGCATGGGTCATGATACTTATTTTTGAGAGATGAGGAAAATGAGTCTCAAAAACATTTTTAACAGCAGCAAGCCTTGTCAGTGATGCCCCCAGATCCAGAATCTATAATGTGACCTATTCTGTGCTATTAAACTCTTCTGGTAGAAACCTAACAACAATCACACAGGATAATAAAATGCTCAGTCAATGCAAAATGTTGTATATGGAGAAAAACAATGCAATGATGAAATAGCAGGCAGGGCTTAGCCTGTGTTTCTCATGAAATGAGAATTTGAATACCTCGTAATAGATTAACATTTTGGTTATTTTGCTTTTGTAGTTATGCTTGAATTCTCACAGTGCCGCAAAAAGTGGGAGGAAATCCGCTTACTACTTACCGAGGATATGCTGGTTGAAAGTCCTCTCATTAAGCCCATCATAGCAATTAGCCATGACTCTGTGCACTGATACAAATAATGACCAAGCTCTGTTTTGTTAGCTTATCACTTACCAAGCTGTTCTCCTAAATGTTGGCCTCTCTCTGTTGAAATGACCCGCTCGTCTTCCATGTCACATTTGTTCCCAACCAGGATAACCTGGGCATTATCCCAAGAGTATGTTTTGATTTGAGTTGACCTAAAAGAAAAACAGGCAAGAAACAATCAGCAGAGAACACAACGTAAAGCGAAGGAGAGGACTATGTCCCACAGATGATGGTAATAGCAAAAAAAGAAGCCCAGATGCCTGACATTTAGAATTAATTAGTTCAGTGCAATTTCACCCTTCAGATACTCAGAATATTTGTACTAAGAATTCTTTTTTATTGGGTGATATTAATATGACTACTGGTTTTTCCTTTCTCCCTTTTACCTACACCTTATGTAGTACCTTTATAGCTGGAGTGACCAATGATCCTTGTTTACTCATGACATTTCCAGATTTTGCAGTAAAAATCCCATGTTCCTAGAACTCCTCAGTTTTAGGAAACCCAGTTGTTCACCTTAGAGCCCACCACAAACAAACAAACAAAACAAAACAAAACAAAAAAAAACCAAGCATGATTTTCCCTTGTTACAATAACAACTTAAAGAGCTAGGACAATCGGGGCCTAGGAGAGATGGGGATAATGTTAATTTTCAAGAATGAATCATAGGAGAAGAGGAGGAAGATGGTGGAGGAATGGGAGACCTAAATTTTGCCTGGTCTCAGAAATTCAGCTGCATAATTATCAAACAATTCTAAATACCTACAAACTGAACAAGAGATAGAAGAGAAGAATAGCAGCAATTATATGAACAGAAAATCGACTGCTTTCTGGAAGGTAGGACATGCAGAGAAGTGAATCTGAGACGATATACGGGAAGATATACTGTGGGTGGGGGAGGGGCCGGCTCCCAGCAAGTGGTAGAGCAGCAGAGCATGCAGTCAGAACTTTTAGAAGTCGGCTCCACTGAGGGACGTCGCTCCAGTGGCTAAGCAGGGGGTGGAGACCTCACTGGGACAGTGTGGTCTTCTCAGGACCCTCGGGGGTCACAGAATCAGGGGTGCCTGAGTGTAGCAGAGCTCCCAGGTATCAGAGTGGGGAAGCCGGCTGCAGAGACGGAGCTAAGGAGCGGACTTTCAGACTGAGGTTACCTTAAACCATGATCTGAGGCACAGTCAGCCACTGCTCTTAAGCAGGGACCCCACAAGTGGCAGAAATGGGGAGACACCCTCCCTTCCTCCATCGGGAGGAGCAGCACGGAAGCATACTGCAGGCATCTGCTGGGTTTGGAGACTCCAAATGGGGCCATGTGCCAGAGACAGAAACACTTGGTCACAGGCCAGGTGAGCATGGAGTGAGGCTGGAGACCAGGGAAATGGGAGTGATTGAGCGCTTTTCTCTGAGGGTGTGCTGAGGAGTGAGGCACCCCCTTCCCCCGCTCTCAGCTCCTCTGGGCAGAGATTGGGAGGCTGCCATTTTCATTCCTGTCCTCCAAAGCTCTATGGAAAGTGTTCAGGGAACAAAAGCTACCAAGAGTGAACCTGAGCAGATTACTTAGCTGGGCCCTAGCAAGGGTGGTGCAATTCCACCTCGGGCAAAAACATTTGAGAATCACTACAAGAGGCCCCTCCCCAGAAGATAAGCAAGAACATCCAGGCAAGACCAAGTTCACCAATCAATGAGAACTGCAGAACTCCAGCAGTGGGGGAATACAGCATATGGAATTCATGGCTTTTTCCATGATTCTTTAGTCTTTCAAAGTTAAATTTTAAAAAATTTCTTCTTTTAATTTTTCCCCTTTCCTGTTTTATTTTTTTTGAGTTTTTTTTTTTTTAATTTATTTATTTGACAGACAAAAAGTGAGAGAGGAAACAAAAGCAGGGGGAGTGGTAGAGGGAAAAGCCGGCTCCCTATGGAGCAGGGAGCCCAGTGCAGGGCTCAATCCCAAGACCCTGGGATCATGACCTGAGCCAAAGGCAGATGCTTAAATGACTGAGCCACCCAGGCACCGCAACCTCTTCCCTATTTTAACCAACATCTTATCAATACCCTTATAAAAATCTTTCTTAACTTTCATTTTTATAGTCATAATCTATCCCTTCATTGTATTTAATCTTATTTTTAGTATACATATAAGTTTTTCTTTCTACAAAATTTTGGGATACAGTTTCTTCTAATGACCAAAATATACTCTAAATCTAGTGTATGGCTTTCTTCTAGTCTCCTGCTGGCCTGATCACATTCTCACCTTTTTTTAAAAATTTTTTTTAATTTTTTCTTTCTTTTTTCAACCAACTTACTATCATTTTTAAATATTTTTTAGATTTTCATCTTTACAGTCATATTTCATCCCTTCATTTTACCATTTTATATATATGTGTATATATAATAAATATATACATATATATTTTATATATATAGAAAATTTTATATATAAATATAAATATATATAAAAATAAATATATGTTTACCATTTTATATATATATATATATATATATATATATATATATATATGTTTTTTTTCCCCATCTTTAAAATTGGGGAGGCAGTTTCTTCTAACAGAAAAAAAACCACACCCAAAATCAAGTGTGTGGCTCTGTTCTTTTCACCATCCTGATCATATATTTATATATATTTTCTTTTTCTCCCCAGTTTCAATTCTCTTCTGATTTGTTTACTGTGTATTTTTCTGGGGTTGTTGTTCTGCTTTTAGCATTGTGTGCTCTCATTCATCTGTTCTTCTCTGGACAAAATTATAAGGTGGAAAAACTCACCTCAAAAAAAAAAAAACACAAAAAAACAAGAGGCAGTACAGACTGCTAGGGACCTGATCAATACAGACATTAATTAGATATTGAAACTAGAGTCCAAAATAATGATTATGAAAATGCTAGCTGGCCTTGAAAAAAGCATGTAAGATACTCGGGAATCCCTTTCTGGAGAAATAAAAGAACTAAAATCTAACCAAGTTGAAATTAAAAAAGCTATTAATGAGGTGCAATAAAAAGTGGAGGCTTTTAGGGGCGCCTGGGTGGCTGAGTGGGTTAAAGCCTCTGCCTTCGGCTCGGGTCATGATCCCAGGGTCCTGGGATCGAGCCCCGCATTGGGCTCTCTGCTCAGCAGGGAGCCTGCTTTCTCCTCTCTCTCTGCCTGCCGCTCTGTCTACTTGTGATCTCTGTCTGTCAAATAAATAAATAAAATCTAAAAAAAAAAAAAAAAAAAGTGGAGGCTTTTAATGCTAGGATAAATGAGGGAGAAAAGAGAATTAGTGATGTAGAAGACCAAATGATGGAGAATAAGAAAGCTGAGAAAAAGAGAGATAAACAACTACTGGATCATGAGGGGAGAATTGGAGAGATAAGTGATACCATAAGACAAAACAATATTAGAATAATTGGGAATCCCAGAGGAAGAAGAAAGAGAGGGGCAGAAGGTATATTGGAACAAATTATGGTGGAGAACTTCCCTAATTTGAGGAAGGAAACAGGCATCAAAACCCAGGAGGCACAGAGAATCCCCCCCCAAATCAATAAAAATAGGTCAATACTTCATCATCTAATTCTAAAAGTTACAAGTCTCAGAGATAAAGAGAAAATCCTGAAAGCAGCTGGGGACATGAAGTCTGTAACATACAATGGTAGAAATATTAGACTGGCAGCAGACCTATCCAGAGAGACCTGGCAGGCCAGAAAGGACTCGTATGATATATTCAGAGAAATGACTGAGAAAAATATGCAGCCAAGAATACTATATCCAGCTAAACGGTCATTGAAAATAGAAGGAGAGAGAAAAAGCTTCCAGGATAAACAAAAATTAAAAGAATTTCAAAACACCAAACCAGCCCTATAGGAAATATTGAAAGGGGTCCTCTAAGCAAAGAGAGAGCCTAAAAGTAGTAGACCAGAAAGAAACAGAGACAATATACAGTAATAGTCACCTTACAGGCAATACAATGGCACTAAATTCCTATCCTTCAATAGTTAACCTGAATGTAAATGGGTTAAATGGCCCAATCAAAAGACACAGGGTATCAGAATGGATAAAAAACCAAGACCCATTGATATGCTGTCTGCAAGGAACTCATTTTAGACCCAAAGACACCTCTAGATTGAAAATGAGGGGGTGGAAAACAATTTACATGCTAAGGATGTCAAACAAAAGTTGAGTAAATCCTTATATCAGAGAAATTAATTTTTAAGCCAAAGACTATAATAAGAGATGAGGAAGGACACTATATCATGCTTAAAGGGTATGTCCAACAAGAAGATCTAACAATTTTAAATATCTATGCCCCTAACATGGGAGCAGCCAATTATATAAACCAAATAATAACAAAATCAAAGAAACACATCAACAATAATACAATAGTAGTAGAGGATTTTAACACCCCCCTCGCTGAAATGGGACAGATGATCTAAACAAAAGATCAACAGGGAAATAAAGGTATTAAAGGACACATTGGACCAGATGGACATCACAAATATATTCAGAACATTCCACCCAAAGCAATAGAACACACGTTCTTCTCTAGTGCACATGGAGCATTCTCCAGAATCGATCATATCCTGGGTCACAAACCAGGTCTCAGCCAGTACCAAAAGATTAGGATCATTCCATGTGTATTTTTAGATGACAAAGCTTTAAAACTGAACTCAATCACAAGAGGAAAGTTGGAAAGAACACAAATACATGGAGGCTAAAGAGCATCCTACTAAAGAATGAAAGGGTCAACCAGGAAATTAAAGAAGAATTGAAAAATGCATGGAAACCAGTGAAAATGAAAACACAACTGTTCAAAGTCTGTGAGACACATAAAAGGTGGTCCTGAGAGGAAAGTATATAGCCATACAAGCTTTTCCCAAGAAACAATAAAGTTCTCAAGTACACAATCTAATCCTACACCTAAAGGAGCTGCAGAAAGAACAGCAAAGAAAGCCTAAACCCAGCAGGGGAAAAGAAATGATAAAAATCAGAGCAGAAATCAATGAAATAGAAACCAAGAGAAGAATAGAACAAATCAACGAAACTAGGATCTGGTTCTTTGAAAGAACTAATAAGATTGATAAACCCCTGGCCAGACTTATCAAAAAGAAAAGAGAAAGGACCCAAATAAATAAAATCATGAATTAAAGAGGAGAGATCACAACCAAT